AGGTTTCTGCCTTGCAGATATTGGGATTTTATTACTGATTGAGCATGAGGTCTTTGTCGTGCAGTGACTCTGATGTGATATTGATTGTGGCACATGAGTTGTCTGTGCAGCACATGAGTTGTCCATACGATTGTTATGATTATGGCACATGAGTTGTCCGTGCAGCGGGTGAGTTATCCGTGCAGTTGTTATGATTATGACATGTGAGTTGTCCGTAAAACACGTGAATTCTATGTGCAGTTTTTATGATTATGGCACGTGAGTTGTCTGTGCAGCACTTGAGTTATTCATGCGGTTGTTATAATTATTGGCGCATGAGTTGTCTGTGCGGTTGTTATAATTATTGGCACGTGAGTTATCTGTGCAGCACATGAATTGTCCGTGCAGCTATGTCACATGAGTTATCTGTGCCTCGTATGGATATGGTGCCATCTCCCTTGGGTCGCCCTCTCATGTTTTTCTATTGATGACGTACACGCAGGTTGTGAAAAATCGACGGATTTTTCGTTGATTGTAATGTGGATCCTATATGATGAGTTATTGAACATAAAGGTGGAAGCTTGGCCTTTCGAGTAATCCTTGTGCATATTCATGTATTTACATGCATATTTCATGCGTATCATCTACCTATTTGTATTTTACATATGTACGAGATTTGTTAGTGAGTTGTTGGACATTTGGAGAGTGTTTGGATTGATGTAAAAAGAGATTTATTATCATACATTAAAATGTTAGATTCATAAACATGGAATTTGAAAATTGATACAGAATTGGATCATTGTTATGTACAGACTTTACATTCATGTATGAGTAATTGAACACACATTACTTGGTGCACATCTCTTTGTGTACGGAGTTGGTGCAAGTTGTATTTGCTTGATATGTTTAATTGGCAAAGCTTGTTTATTACCCTTACCCAGTTGTGCACCTTTATTATTAATGTTCGTTATTTCGTGGCTGTCTTTTTTGGATACTTCTCTATTGTACATGTTATTGAGCTACACAGGTTATTTGAAGATCTTTTTGACTTAAAAACTTTGTCACTAGTTCACCGAGTTTGGCCAAAATACATATTTGAGTACATGGGGCATGTTGTACTCATACTACACTTCTGCACTGTAGATCTTGGAGCTGAGCTACTGTGGATGACGAAGCCTAGAATTGAAGGCATACCAGCATTTCAGATTCAAGCTACCTCTTGTTCATGGTAGTTAAGGACTTAAGATTTTTTTATGTAAACTTCAAACTGATGTTGTATTTATCTTCGTACCAATCTGTAAATCTAAATCTTAGTGGCTCATGACTTGTACTACCAGTCATTGGGATAGTTGTATTGATTGTTCGCATTCTTATTTATTATTCTTGTTAATTTCTCATTAGAGTAGCATCTTGTATTTTGGGCTTACCTAGCAGGTTGGTTTAGGTGCTATCACGACTTGAAGGGATTTTGGGCCGTGACATATGACTTTGTATGTATTTTGTATGTGTTTTGTATATATTCATACAAAAAATAATACGGCTATAGCAGAATACAACTTTCATACAAATTTCATGCGGCTATAGTACATCTTTAATAAAAATTTCATACTTAAATATAACTTTATGTAAAAGAGAGTATTTATAACTTAAATGCAAATTTCATACAATCATTCATATAGCATAAAACTTATTTACAACTTTCATTCCATATTCATATAAAAAAATACAACTACAACAGAATACAACTAAATAGAGTTTTCAAGCAAATTTCATACAACGATAATACTACTTTATATATTTTTCCTCTCCGAGTTTAAATCTAAAAATTCTTATAATCTTTATCAAATACCCTAAAAATTGAGATATAACCTCTAGAGAATATACCCGATTGTTTGCAGCGTCACCCAATTAAAACAAATAATAATTTTAAAAAATCCGAATTCAAAATTAAATCTTCGAAACTTTTTGATGGCTATCAATATATGGGGAGGCAACAGACAAGAATTGATTCGCCGATGACAAGTGATAACGTCAAATTCATTATTGAATTCTTTGAAAAAGAAAGCAAAAAGGAAATGAGAAAAGAGAAGAGAATCATGGAAGATTAAACAAAAATAGGGCAGAAGAATGGAGAGAGAGAGAGAGAGAGGGGAGGGGGGGGAGGAGGGAGGGAGGGACAAAGAGGGAAGGGAGATTATTAAATGTGTGAAATTTATTTACCAAATTAAAATGCTGCGATCAAGGGATACTCAATAGTACTAATTTGAATAGAATTAGTAAATTGTATGTTTACTTGTACGTAAGCTAAAACCTCAATTGTGAGGGTAAAGCTAAGTAAAAATCTCGAATGAACTTGTCTTGTATGTGCCCAACTTAATAGTCTAGCCCAAAAATATTTGGAGTGTTGATCCAGTAAAATTTTGATGTCTACTATATCATACAAAAAAAATATGGGAGCAGTTTTCATTCTCAGTATTACATAATGAGCTAGTCTGATCATCCACAATACCTCATCTAGCTAGCCTATCTTTAGTTTATAACCTTTGCCATATTTTCTCAATATAAATATCCACCTTTGGGATCCAATATTACAGACAAGCCCTCTCTAAGGCACTTTATGAAAGTCACATCTAATATTTGTGCATATCATCCTGATAGAGAATCTATGTAGTGCCAAAAATGAACTTTCCCTGTACCTAGCCTCATGTGCATAGTTCGAGCTTCCAATAGTTTTTGTACCATCCATGATGCTTGCTTAGCAGTTGTAGCTCGGATAGATCTGCTCTTACTATAGTAGATGTGTACCCAATGAATTTACAATTTGTCTTTTGTCCTACATAGATTTCAAAGTAGCTTAAAAATTACAGGTTTGTTCCATGTTTTGATGTCTAATATGTTTAATCTTCGTACTAATTGTGGAATGCAGAATCTATCCCAAGTAATTAAAGCTTTGTTACTCATCTCTACCCCTCATGTCCATAATAATTTCCTGCATGTGCTTTCAATCTCATTACAATCTTCTTAGGCAATATGAAAATTTGTGACCAAAATGTCTGTACAGAGAAAAAGACACTCCTGATGAGCTGAAGTTTACAAGCATAAGTAAGAAACTTGAAAGTCCAGGATGTCACTCTATTTAAAATATTCTCAACTAATTGTTGACACTGACCAACAGAGAGCCTTTTTGTACACAATAGAATTCCTAAATATCTTATGAGAAAAGAGAAGCCAAGTATGTATAGTATTTTCAGCTGTCCGAATGAGCAAACACCATCAAAGTATACTGAGACTTATCAAGATTAGCAATTAAAACACCACCAAAGTATACTGAGACTTGTCAAGATTAGCAATTAATTATAAAAGCTTTGAAATGTACGAAACAAGAGATGAATTGATACCACATCACCCCTACAATATAGTAAAAGGTCATCTGCGAACCCTAGTTGTATGATATTTATATTTTCACAACTAGGGTGGTAGTTAAAATTAGGCTGCATTCTCAAGATCAATCTTTAGCATAATACCCCTTTCTTTCCATAACCTTTCACTAGTTCATGACTAAGTTTGATATATTATCCATAATGATTCTGCCAAGTAGATTGGCTCTAATCCACAAAATACACCATCGCATATTGTATTTTGCTCATTAATATCTTGGAGACTATTTTGTACAACAAGAGAAAGGTCTAAATTACTTGATAGTAGTGGGATTCTGAACTTTAGGGACCAGTGTGACTGCTGTGCAATTGACTGATGGTTTGTAGATATGTTTAGCAACAAAAAATTTCAGCACTGCATCACTTAATTTCTCTCTGAATAATGGGTATGACTTGTTGAAAAAGATTTTATTATACCCAGCACACCCTGGAACGTTTTAGTCATCAATTTCTTTAAGTGCCAAATAAACTTTCTGTCTAGTAACTAGCGCAATTAAGTGCAGTTGTTGATAATTGGACCTTCCTTCATAGTGCTAGATGAACTTAGGCTTGACAGTCCCGAATTTCATACCCGTATGGAACTTCGAACCAAAATGAACGTAAGAAGCAACAATTGTGCCAATATTATCCATCACTTTTTGTAAAACTTACGCATAAAGATATCCAAAACATAGTGAAATTAAAATACCATAGTGCACCAAGAACCAATCTTTTGAAAACATAAATTGTTATTGTCCCCAACACACACATAATATATATTTCACTTACAATTTGATTTGGACTGTGGGTCATACTGACAAGTTTAAACGTCAATAACATATCCATAAGATAAAATAAACATGTCACAGCATATCCCAAAAGCTAGCAAATAACACATGACCTTGAGGCGGAGCGATACAGAAGAAGGCAAAACACCTTAAGAAAGCAGAACAAAGGAGCGATACAAAATAAGGCAAAACAAAGGAGCACAACTAATTAGAATTAAGTTAAAAGCAAATTAGGAGAAATAATAAAACAGAAGGCGGCAAAGCACCTTTAACATTGGTCTGGGAAAAAACAAAGTAGGTTATAGGTTGATGATTTGGAGTTAAAATAGAAAAAAAGACAAAAGGCTAAAATAGATGTGGAGTAATAAATTAGGACATAATTGGAAAGAAAAATAGGAAACAAGCCCACCACTCCAAATCGACTGGTTTAAAAAATAGTACTTTTCATTGTTCTGAAACAATGGATTAAACAATACAATACAATCAATTTTAATGAAACAATCAAAACAAATATTGTTTTAGAATAACAATACAGTACAACGAGGAACAACCGTCCAAACAAGTTGTAAACTACTTAAAGAGTCACTATATAATTTTGTAACCAAAAAGTCTTTCAACTTTGCCTTTGCCTACATATCGTAGAAAAATATCTCCTTTATTTCCTCCTAGTTATTTTACAAGATACTTCAGCAAAGTTGAATTACTTTCTTATTAGAAAAATATGTTTAACGACTCTCTAGGCGAAAAAAGAAGTCAAATAACATTGGTAATGGCTAATATCTCCAACACCATTAACCATAAATCTGGACAGCAAAGAGAAGAGAGAACACATGTTTCCAGTATGAAACAACACCTACAGCCTGATGATCGTTAAGCAAAAAGAAACATTAGTGTCTATAACTGTACTTTAATTTTGTCCAGCTGCTATTTGTTTGCTCTTCATTTGGTTGTACAAGAGGATTTCCCCTGAAAACAATATAGAAAAGCTACAACCATACAACACGTTATACATCATCAAACACTTGAAAGGCCACCTGAGGCTATATACTTTGGATGATTAACGACAAACTTCATTATATTATGGCTATTTAGTTCCAGACTTAGCAGCAAAATACAATATCATGTTTAGTAAGGGACAATGATGGATTCTATAATCTCTTGGAGTGGAGCCAGCTCCTTCTTGTCAATCAGTCCAAATTCCTACAAAATAAACATACCAATTGTTAATATCCATGGTAATTAATCCACATAAAAATGCTAAAAGCACCACAAACAATTTTCATTCATATGTAGGCGTTCGCAGAAAAAACAGCTATTCCCTTCATTGCAATCCCATGCATTCCAGTACTAGTAGTCTGGATAAGGTAGTGCTAGAAGCTTTGTTGTGGAATTAGGATAGCATGACGGAAGAGCTACCAGAAACTAGAAACAATAGGTTTTATGATTTATGTCCTCTGCGAAAGATCTAATCCTGAAAATACCACAGATGCCCTGAAAATTGTGCTGCATAATCTTCCTTCCAGCAGGAAAAATAGATCCAAACGAATAACAGAAGCAGACTCCAGGAACATTCTACATTTCTGCCACATCTTAGTCTAATGATGAAAACATTTATACTTTATGTTCTTTCAACAATTCTATACTTATCCGCTGAAAGAAAAAACGTAAGTCTGTCAGGAGAAGGCCTACGTCAACCAACCCATCTAAAGGGAAAAAATTACTTCCATCTTCCTTCTTTCTACACACCCGAGAACCACTACTCTTCCTGAAACAAACCAGGTTTCTTAAGCGGACCAGATTCTATTTATTTATCTTTTATCTCAACCGATCCCTAATTTTATCCATAGAACACACACCTTGTGAATTTGCCTAGCTATTGATGATTTATTTTCTTGAGAATATAAACTTAGATGACTCACCTTACCCACTTCTACATATCATTATCACCGTTTTAAACAGCATGTTTAGAATAAATAGGTTAAGAAGATCTAATCCTGCTATATTTGAGAGTCATCCATTATTCACTGCTTAAAATCATTTCCTCATGACCAGTCGTACCTTGGTCAACAACAAGCAAAGCAAGCAAGCAGATGATGAAAACTAGTGAATGACAGACATCCGGAGGAAGACACAAGTTTTTCCCCTTAGTTGGAATATTCAGATTTTAATCCTTTAATTTTCTGTCAGCCGATGAAGATACATAATCCTTTATGAAACACATGATACAAATTTTTCAGATGATACTAAAATAATAAGTTTAAGAAGTACAATCTCAAATCTCGGTTGAATCTACATTAGGTTGAAAGGATAAAGTTAGAGAAAATTTAGACAAGGGGGAGGGGAGAGAAAGAGGGATGTAGTACTCAGATCTGAAGATTAAAAAACAAAAGAAAAGAGAGAGAACACTACCACTTGAAAAGCTAAACAGAGATTACCAGGCAAAATAAAGAAGATAGCATGACATCAATTTGGACAGATGCATGAAATGAGCATGTTTTCAGGCATTGAAAGAAAGAAAAACCAGTATTGTGCACAAGAAAGAAATTCAGAGAACTCACATGGGTGAAGAGTATGAAATGCTTAAAGCATGTATTCAAATGGGCCTCCTCCTTAAGACTCACGATTTTCTGAAAATGGGAGTGATAGATATGTGCATATACACGAAAGAGGCGCTTAAAAATTGTCTTCACGACATCCTTGAAGTTAGATGGAAATGGTGCACCTACAAATTGGGCATAGAGAATTAATGACAAAAGGTATTAGCGTAGTCCAAACAAAGATGGAAAGAGAATTGATATCAGTAAGCTAGAATATCTCATCACGCCCGGCCCAGCCATCCACTTCCAATCCCAGACACTGCCACCACACCCCCTCTCCCAACAGAACCAAGTCAAAAGTAAACAATTGAAGCAATGTATTGTTAAAAGCGAAGGGAAATAAGATTTATTTTTTGTTTATTTTTCTTTTGAATGGGGATGTGGAATAAAGGGGCCCCTCCAACATATTTTTTATCCGTCACAACTTCACTCGGCCCCGAGACCAAGAAGTTGACTTTAATACTCCCTCCGTTTCAATTTATGTGAACCCATTAGACTGGGCACGGAGTTTAATTGAAGAGAGAAGACTTTTGAACTTGTGGTGTAAAATAAGGCACATTATATTTTGTGTGGCTATAAATCATTGCATAAAGGTAAATGGTTTCCAAATAAGGAAAGGGGTCATTCTTTTTGGCACGGACTAAAAGGCAATAGGTTCAAATAAATTGAAACAAAGGTAGTATTATACTAGTATCTTTTTTGAGAAGTGAAAATTTTACTAAACAAAAGTAGAACCATACTACTTGAAGTAAAATGATGACAGAGTAGAAAAGTAGAATGATAATAAAGTAGTTTTTAGTTGGTTTGATGAGGAGGAATTAGATGATAAGTGAAATGAGAGTTACTAAATGAGATTACACTCTTGAAATGTGTGGGAGTAACACCGCATCTTAATATTTTAGATGAGTGTCGAACATTTGATGCCTTCCAAAATAAAAACTGTGTACTTACCGAGCCTCTGAGGAAATATAGATTCGTCATCCAATTGAGTTTCAATCCAGTCCATCAAATACTCAACGTATTTTGGAGCCGAAACTTCAATAGGCTTCTTAATTTGTACACCATCAGCCCATCTGTACTCATACCTAAAATCAATATGTGAAGAAGTCAGGAAGACTATGTGAAGTTTTCTCCTCTTGAAACATAAAAGAACAACACCATAAGAAACTTCTATTGTCTATTGTTTATTTTTCTTCTTCTTGAGCCGAGGGTCTTTCGGAAAGAGCCTCTCTACCCCTCCGGGGTAGGGGTAAGGTCTGCGTACACTCTACGCTCCCCATACCCCACTTGTGGGATTTTACTGGGTTGTTGTTGTTGTTGTCGTTGTAGACTATTAATCAAAGTCGGACTTGATTAAGGAGGAATGAGCATTCACAGGGTTAAGATGACCAGCAAAATAAGTAACTTTCTTTGTAAAGATGCAGCGGAAAATGCAATTCACCAATAAATAATGAAAGACAAACAGAAAAAACATATGATGAAGAAAAAAAAAGGTCTAGACTTCTATTCTTCTTTTTTTTTTTTTAGTAAGTAATAAAGGTCTAGACTTCTGGCTGCAGCATTAAGTTTAAATGGTAAGAGTAAGATATTGAACTAGAAGGAACAATTGTGTTGATGTACGTCCAAATATTAATTATTTAAGCTTTTTATGACAATAAGCAGCCTTCATACATCCAAACCGTTCATTTGTATTCTGCTTCCTCTTTGCGATAAAGAACCACACTGATCAACTCAACCAAACCAGATCCAATTATTATTAGGTTCTTCTGGATGAATAGTGCAGTTTCAATACAGAGATCAAGAATTAATTCACTTTACCAAACTGTTGATGAAACAATAATTAGTAGCTCACACAGTGTTAGTTCATAATTAATACATATTGGTAACTTCATCGATTAGTGTGTCTGTTCGGTGAACTTAAAATGCTCATTGTTTAAACGATTTCTTATAACTTGCCAGCTACAGGTACTTATTACCTAATCAAAAAAAATTACCAGCTACAAGTGGCAGCATTTTCAAAGGCAGCACATGTAGAAAAGCGCCAGGATCAGCTGGGGTTCTAAACGCAAAGTGCAAAGTGTGTGCTTTAGCAAATAAATGCACATATGAAGAAAAAAAGAGAAATCAGTCGATCAATTAATCAACTATCCCTAAATCCCAGATTTTTGTTAGAGTCGAATATATAAATTCTCTATATCGACTCACTCAATTCAACTCCATTTCATTCCAATACCAAATAGTCTGTCTTTTAAAGCAAGTTAAAAGATCCGTAGAACTATAAATTCTCTAAATCTCACATTTATCTCTACATGGCCATACAAGTTTCTAACCAAATAGAAAGATTTCTGACAAATACCAAACCTAATATAAGAGTAACAACAACTTACTCTAAAACAGTTACCATCGCCTAATAGGTCCTTTATTTTCATTGTGTTCTATTCTTAGTAAAATTTACAATGATTCCAATAGATGGTAAGTCTTTTGAGACACCTTTCCTCAATATGATTTTCCATGAACCTTGTCCCTTTTATCACCTTCAACCATTATGTATCAGTGCGTATGGAGGTCTACACAGGACATGGCCAAAACATCTCAAGTGATTTTCTCTAATTTTATCGTCTAAGTATGCTACTTAGACCCTTTTTCAAATGCAATCATTTCTGATCTTTTCTAATCTTGTACAACTGAACGTCCATCTTAGCATCCGCAGTTCAATGATATTCATTTTATGGGTTGATTTGACCTTAAGAAGAATAACATTCCCTCCCATATAACATTGTTGGTTGTGTAACCTTCCTTTAGGATGTCTTTCATTTCTAAGGAATGGAGCAAATTGCAATTAGTTGAAGCATGTGAAATGAAACCATGTCAATCAAGCGCAACTTTTTTTAAATTTCAAACACATGCGTAGACCCATTTAAGCATTACAATCATATTTTACTACTATGTAGTTTTCTTATATTAGATTTTCAATTATACTTACCAATCACTTGCCATAATGTTTCCTTAAGAATTAATGTATCGTGTTGTGGACCATATTTACTATTTACTGTCACTCTCTTCAAGACAGAGATTATAGGACCATATTTACTATTTACTGTCACTCTCTTCAAGACAGAGATTATAGGCGCTAAAGCGCACTAGGGAAGGGAGGGATAACTTAGTGGAAATGACCCCCCCCCCCCCCTCTCCAACCACAAATCCCCAGTAAGCAAAGTGGGAAGGGCCAATATTGGACTGCGGGGTGGGAGGGTTTAAGGTTGAAGTTTACTATATCCAAAAAAGTTAACACTAGTATTAAAATCATGAACTTAATGTGTGTCCTCTGCCTTTTTATTTGCAGAGATTCTTTTGGGGAACTAAAAGACAAATATCTTCCCACACAGAGTAGTAAATGATATGAAAAATATTTCAGATCAAACTTTCCACCTAGCCTGATGAATAAGAATCATAATCAGTTAATAACATCATCTCAATATTTATCTTTTGGGAATTAAACCTCAAATGTGCAAAAACGTATCATCTCTTTGTACCATTGACCATTAATTAATGTACATGCTCATCTTTACTCTGACTGTTGGTCAAAGAAGCACTGTAGCATCCTCTCTCATTTCCGAACAGCTTGCAGCACATATGGAAAGTACTTCAGCAACCATGATTTATTTTGCAAGAACTCTCTGCAGGCCTCTTTCAAGCTGATCAAACTGATCGTGCTTCCGATCAGAGATTCATGTGGTATCGAATACCAGACCACAGATTTCCTTTCATGTAATTTTAGAAGGATATTTTCATTAATTTCCCACAGTTGCCTATGGAAGACCAATGCAGATTCATAGTAATAATTCTTCTTAACTGGCTCAGTTCTTGTTTATTAGCACCTAGATAATTTAACTCCACATAGAGGATAGCTTTGCAAAAGTTTAGAACATTCACCACTTAGTAAGATCTGATGAGAACTGAAATCATTTCATGTAAGTACAAATATCAATAGAGAAAGAAATGAGGGAATGAGTAACAGTAATTTTAACCCTTCTCAAATATTGCTAAGAAAAGCAACCTTTTTAATTATAAAATCAGAGAGCATCTAAATGAATTTTCCTTATTCTTATACATAACTGAACTACATAGCAAATAGTAGTTTGTACAAGTATCATCAAAGTCATTTACTGAACATACTTAGGGCCTGCAGTCATTGTAGGGCAGTTCTCTGGCGTACAGAACTCAGTCAGGGTGCCATAAAGTAGATTCACCTGGTTGAAGAAATCAACAGCTGGATATTGCAAGATAAAACCTCCATTCAGTTTTGAAATTTAGAGTAGCTTATCACAACAACTGAGCAAAGAAACATAATTAATGTGTACATATGTGTGTGTGTACTATAAGAGCAAAGAAAAAGTAATATATGCAGTATTTCACTTTCCACCAGCCTTTGAACTTGGTTACGGATATTAAGCCAATCTGCAAAAGCTGTTGTTAAATGTGAATTTAACACTTGGTGAAATTTCTTCTCTATGGTAAATTCATGTGGCATTTAGATTGGCCCAGAAAGATAAAGATCAAAGTACTGCATGATTTTGTGCAAACTATAATACAATACTCACACGAGCTTAAAACCTATCCCCATACTACACCTGTAACCTAGAATTAACCTAAATACTCCTGCAACACCCTCAATCTTAAACCTAATTCATCAAGGCATTGAGTACAAGGGGAAGAATTTGAAGTTTTCTGCTCAAATTGAACTAAACCATGGAGAATATATCTGGATGATTGGAAGTTCTGAAAGTTTTAAGTCATATATAGATTTATCAGAAGAAGAAAAAAGTCATATGTGATCTCTTCCAGGATATATATTGAAAAAGTATAAGAATTATAGAGAACTTCTATAGATAAATGACAAATTTTTGGGACAGTCAGAAGAAAGTTCAGCAGTTAGTTTGGGGTAGATAACGTATCTTTCTTTGACATTTTTAACGTCCTTTTTCTTTTTGGCTATTTAGTGCGACTGTTCTTCCGCAACAGATTAGGCCTGCAGCTAAAGGGCAATAGTGAATACAGCAATCACTTGTGCTGTTTGTGTCCGAGAACATTAAGACACACAAATAGAGCTAAAATTGGGATGCTAGAAACCGACATGCAAGCAGAGGCGTAGCTAGGATATGAAGCTTATGACAAACATTAAGACAAATACAAAGTTTGAACCAAAGCTATTGGGTTCGGCCAAACCCGTAATCGAAAGCTCTAGCTCCGCCCAGCATGCAAGTGCATAAAAGATAGAGAGGTGGAGAGGGAGAAAGATTACTGTTGACAGCAAGCCATTCATTAATATCTTCGCCTGGGGGGAGCCTTACAGCCTCTCTCAAGTTTCCACTACCTAACGTGGCATCAATATGCTTCCTTAACTGTGCCCCCTGCAATAGCAGAAAAGGAGAACAACATAAGGAAGATGACCTAGTTAATAGGGAAAATACTTTTCTTCTGCTCCACAGTTCATGGATCACATCAACTGTCTGACCAGAATAGAAATGTCCAGGAAGAATGATAAACTAGGAAGAAGACATAGAACAGATAAAAGAAAATTCATCCAGAAAAGCACAATCTGCAGTAAATTTGTTGATAAGGAACAATTACTGCCTTGGAACTGCATTAAACAAATGAACTTAACATGTTTTCATGATAATATGCAGGCTCTATAGCTTGAATACCAGAAATGATTAATCCAGTTGAAGATACAAGAGAATAATACCAAAAGGCTAGAGCCCGCCTAATAGTGCTCATCAACCCAATTGTGTATCTTTAGATATATCTGTAAATGCTTACAAGTTCAATATCTGCCACAAGGATCTAAACTCATAGCATGCAATACTCTCGAATGTTGAAACTAGCTTGAACAAAACTTATCATATCAAAATTTGAAGCTTAGATGTGCCTTAAGAGCTCCAAACACAATTTTGAAATGTTTATCAGAGTTATGACACTATATAATCCTTTTCAAAAAATAATTGATTTCATATCATCCTGATGCTTCTCTAACGAACAGAAAGCGTGCCAATCTATGCCACAAACCTTGCTAAAAAGAAACCAGATCTCATGAGAACCGAAAGCACAGATTTATCATAATATCAAAATTAACCACCTCGCTGGCCACATAGTTAATTAGGATGGCATTGACAAGACAAAATGACTTGCTCACTTAACATTCTAAAGTCCAATATTTTATATATCTCATTTGCAAAGTCGAAAGCTCCCTAAAATCAAATAATATTAACTTTTAAGGCCAAGCTCACCTAGTCACTGCCTCACTCTCCAAACAAGTAGAATAACTCTCGCAGGTCTCAAAATCCCAACTATCATGGTCAATCAATCATAAAAGCACATTAGCATGAAGATAGACACGCTAAGAATCGTTGAGAATTGGTCAAACATAGTTAGTCTGCCCTAAAGCTTGAAGGTTGCTCTTTCTTTGACAACCGAAAAGTTTCAGAAATTGGAGGCATTAACATCAACACGGTGATTGAATTAACACACAGGAAATAAGTACCCAAAGCACAAAAAAACTACAGGAGAATTCCTTCTCCTGGACTAAGAAATCGAGCAACCTTACTCCCTGAAGGTGCACTTTTTTTGGGCCGGAATGTTCTCTGGTTCCTATATAGAAAGAATAAACAATGTATTAGATGACAGATGCGCATGACTACAGACAACTATCCAGCCAAATGTGAAAGTGAGGTGCACTAAAAGTTAAAGCTCAACGCAACCACCGGCAACACATGAGCAAATTACACATTAAGCAGGTCAAACTAAAACCAGTAGAATTTCACACTGTATAAAGCAAATATATATATATATATATATATACATATATATATACATACTATATATATATATATATATATATACACATACTTGAAATAAAAATGCCAAGCTATAGTGTTCTCTTCATTAAGACGAACTCTTGAAGTTTCTTTTTATTTATTTATTTTCCTTTTACCATCTCTGGAATCCTTTGGTTCTTAAACCAATCAGGACAAGCAACCTATACATCTTTTACAAATGAAACTATGAAAAATATGATCCATCTACATGAATAATTTAGTAATTGGCAAAAATGTGAAAGGTTCCAATATATAGGCATGTTCAGCTTCACTACCAAATAAAGCAATGCAATAAGTTTGATTCATCTATACAGCAATAATCTTTTAAGAACAGAAAAACACATGACAGTAAGTTCCTTCAATTGACATTTCCAGCTTCATTGAAGAATAGGGTAATGGCAACGTCAAATACATGTCATGGAAATTTCAATCTCAAACCAGTTAAACAAAATGGTAATTATATATGTGTAGCATCAAAGCCACAGTAAAAAGAAGCTCCTAACAAATTCCATACATCTCAGGCGTATACACAGCTAACCCCAAAATGGCCAAAGGAATCAAGCATCCTTAAACCTCATCTAGCGTATCAGCATTCATTCAAACAAAAAATTAACACCTAAAAATCTAGACCAATATAACATTAGTAGGTCAAAATTTTTATTAAAGAAAAAACACAAGAAACACAAATATAGAAGACGAAAAAAAATCCAGATCAACGGATACCCTAAGTAGTAATCAGAGATCACTAAACATAGAAAAATCAGCACCCAATTTCCAGAAAAAGAAAATAACAATTCACAACATTCCCATAGAAACAAAGATTACAATTTTACCTTCCAAGACCAAAAAGACTCATGATTAATTTTAGATATTGGGAAAGAGAAATTCAAAAAAGTTTGGATCTTTGAAGTTTAAAGCTGCCCAACAGGAGGGGGGGGGGGGGGGTTTTATTTATTCGCGGGCGGGCAGTTTGCCTTTATTTTTCTCTATTTTCTAATGGAAGTAAGAGGAAAATGCTGTCTCTTCGCATCTGAGAGACTTAGAACATGACAGCTGAGCTGACACCTCCTAAACCTTAAAATGCAAAGCAAAAAGGAAAATTTAAATAAAAATAGTATGAAGTAATGGTTTGTTAAAGGTAAGTTTTTCTTTCAACTTTTTGAACCAAATTTAAATGTTTAAAAATGTATTTTGTTGTAGTAAATGGTAACCTTTCACATTTGAAATCTTCATAAAAATGATGGACAATGATAGAAAAAAAATTGTAATAATTGTGAAATATTTTCATACATGTTATAAATAGAATTCTATTTATGGTGAATGTCCATATTTAGAGAGATTCTAGGGTTTATTACTTGGTGGCTAAGTCACCATCTCCCTATAAATAGAGGGTTCTATTCCATTGTAATTCATCCGAAATTTAATAAGAATTTCCTCTCTCTCTTTCTCTGCAATATTGCTCTTGTTCTTTTATTATTTTATAACACGTTATCAGCACGACACTCTACCGTCTCAAGAAGATTAAGGTACAACTTTTCTCCTCTTTTTAATTATGACTGACATTATGAAAAGAAAGTTCGTTGCCCTTGAAATTTCGGGAAAGAACTATATGACATAGGTGTTGGATGCTGAAATCTATTTAGATGCAATAGGTCTTGGAGACGCCATTAAAGACAGAAATAAAGCATCCACCCAAGACTGTGCTAAGGCCTTGATTTTCTTGCGCCATCACCTTGATGAAGGGTTGAAAATAGAATATCTCACAGTCAAATATCCACTTGCTTTGTGGAATGGCTTAAAGGAAAGATATGACAACTTAAAGTTGGTCACCCTTCCACAAGCACGATATGATTGGGCTCATCTGAGGCTCCAAGACTTTAAGTCTGTTTCTGAATATAATTCTGCGATGTTCAAAATTACTTCTAAATTGAAACTCTGTGGAGATACTATCAGTGATTATGATATGCTTGAAAAAACGTTTACAACGTTTCATGCCTCCAATACGGTTCTGCAACAACAGTACAGAGAGAAAGGTTTCAAGAAGTACTCTGAACTGATTTCTCTTCTCCTTGTGGCTGAGCGAAACAATGACTTGCTCATGAGAAATCACGAAAATCGACCCACTAGGTCTACACCATTGCCTGAAGTGGATGACGTGTATTCCCATTATGCTAAGCGTGGAAAAGGCCGTGACTCTATTCGTAGTCGTGATCGTGGTCATGGTCGTAGCCGTGGCTGTAGCCGTAGACAAGGAAGAAATTTTCCTGGTGTTAATCATCCCCCAAAGAGAAATAACCACCAAAAGTGGAAAGGGAAAGATGAGAAGCCAAAAGCAAATGGTTCAGAAACTGAATGCTATCGTTGCGGTGGAAAAGGGCATTGGGCAAATATTTATCGTGTACCAAGATATTTGGTTGAGCTTTATCAAGCATCTCTAAAGAATAAAGGCCCTGAAGCCAATTTTGTCTCTGACAATGATTTTGACATCACCCACTTGGATGTGGCAGACTTCTTTGAGCGCCCTGATGGAAAAATAGACCAGTTGATCGGTGATGGATCCGTGGTTAAAGATGATTGAGTAGTTCAATTTTTATTTGTGCATGTTCGTAGTAGTTAATGAATAAAAATCATGTAATTATAATTCTTTACATGAGTAGTAGTCATTAATTTTATTTGTTTTTATGAAATAGTGTTAGTTCGTTCTGATTAAATATAGTTCTAATATTCAAATCTCGTTCCTTTTTTTGTTTTTTTTTTACTGCCATGCAATTAATGTTTGGATGATGAGTCCCACCTCTAAATCTTGAATTTCTAGTACTTGTACTGACAAATATTTTTTTTGGTTGAAAGTTTCTGCCCAACTATATACGATCATTAAACATGGTGGCCTATATATCAACTTTTATCTACAACGGCTTCTAGGCTAGATTTTCATGAAGTTTTTTTTTGCTAATATTTAGTTGGTAATATTTGTATTAGCATATTTTGCTCCAGCGTTTGAGAATAGATGCCTTACAAGCTGCATTTTTTTTTTCACTATGCAAGTACCAGTGACATTCCGCGTGGAATATTCCAGCATTACAATTTGCATTAAAAGTATTATCTAAGCCTTGTTCAGTCCTCTGCTTTGCGCTAAAGTATTCATATGTTTCTTATAAAAAAAAAAGAGTTTAGCAACATGTTAGGCTACCTGCAAAATATTGTGCATAATTCATCCAGTGTTATATGAAGAACCGGTCCCCTTTTTCTTTGAAAATACTAATATTTATTCACATATTTCTTTTGTATGTCAAATCATGGGAAGCAAATATGGATACTTCACAAAGCAAACTTGGATCAAAGTTCAATTGTAAAAATATTTGTTTAGTTGATTCATGTACAACACATACAATATTCAAAGAGAAGAAATATTTCTCTCATTTAAGTATGTGTAAGGCAGATGTTACTACAATTTCTGGTAGTAGTAAATTAACTGAAGGCTCTAGAAGAGCTACTATAACTCTGCCTAAAGGAACAATACTTATCATAGAGAATGCAATGTTCTCCTCCAAGTCCAAGAGGAACTTGTTGAGTTTTAAAGATATCCGCCGAAATGGATATCATATTGAGACAATAGATGAGAATAATCTTGAATATCTCATTATTACCAAAAATGTCTCTGGCCAGAAAAGGGCTATTGAGAAGTTCCCATCTTTATCTTGTGGCCTGTATTGGACAAGAATTAGTGCAATTGAGGCACATTCTATTGTAAACCAAAAGGTTACTGATTCCAATACTTTTGTACTTTGGCATGATCGATTGGGACATCCTGGATCAATTATGATGAGACGGATTATAGAAAACTCAAATGAGCATCCATTAAAGAATTTAAAGATTCTTTTAAATGATGAATTTTCTTGCACTTCTTGTTATCAAGGCAAGTTAATTATTAGACCATCACCAACAAAGGTTGGAATTGAGTCCCCTGCGTTTTTTGAACGTATACAAGGGGACATTTGTGGACCTATTCACCCACCTAGTGGGTCGTTTAGATATTTTATGGTCTTAATAGACGCATCTTCTAGATGGTCCCATGTGTGCCTATTGTCATCTCGCAACCTCGCGTTTGCAAAATTAATGGCACAAATAATTCGATTACGGGCACAATTTCCTGATAATCCAATTAAGTCTATTAGACTTGATAATGCTGCTGAGTTTTCATCCCAAGTATTTAATGATTATTGCTTATCAATTGGGATAAAAGTGGAACATCCTGTAGCTCATGTTCACACTCAAAATGGTCTTGCAGAGTCTTTAATTAAACCTCTGCAATTGATAGCAAGACCGTTACTCATGAAAACGAGGCTGCCCACTTCTGTTTGGGGTCACGCCATTTTGCAAGCAGCAATGCTAGTTCGTCTCAGACCGACAAATTATCATAAATATTCCCCGTTGCAATTAGTTTTGGATCATGAACCTAATATATCCCATTTAAGAATTTTTGGATGCGCAGTATATGTGCCTGTAGCACCGCCATATCGCACCAAAATGGGTCCGCAAAGAAGGTTAGGAATATATGTTGGGTTTGAATCGCCCTCCATTATTCGCTACCTCGAACCATTGACGGGGATTTGTTTACTGCACGATTTGCAGACTGTCGATTCGATGAGACACTTTTCCCAAAATTAGGGGGAGAAGTTGGTGAAACCAAACGGGAAATTTTGTGGAAAAATCCGTCATTATCTCATCTTGATCCACGTGCCTCTATTTGTGAAAAAAGGTGCAAAAGATTATCCATTTGCAAAGAATAGCAAATCAAATGCTAGACGCATTTACGGATTTGAAAAGGATAACAAAATCACATATCCCTGCGGAGAATGTTCCAATCCGTATTGATGTCCCTATTGGACAATCTTCTAGTATCATAGCTAATGAGTCAAAAGCACGCCTTAAACGTGGCAGACCATTAGGTTCCAAAGATCGAAATCCTAGAAAAAGGAAAACAAATGATCAAAATGACACTACGAAAGAATCTCATGAAGAAATCCACGATTTAATAAATTCTGAGATTCATGAGGAATCCACTGAGCCCGAGACTCAAGAAAATAAGGAACTATC